CAGAGGAGAGGGCATCGTCCTGGGTAGCGGAGCCCTGGCTCCCCCCCCCACACCAGGTGACCACATCTGCCCCACCCCCACCATCTGCCCCGGACCTTCCGCACCCTGGTGCCTGGTCACAGCCCGTTTCCCTCAGCAAGCCAGCTGCCTCATCCCAGTCCCAGTGCCCCTCCTTCCCCGCCAGCACCGCTCCCTACAGGAGGGGAGACCGGAGCAGTGGGCTCCGAAGAGCCCCAGGGACGGACGGTGGCGAGGTGCCACGTTACACGTGGGAACGGCCAGGGCATGCCAGCCAAGAACGTCCACTGAGAAGCAGAGACTCCTGAGAAGCAGAGGCTCCACGGGAGCTCAGCTGGGGGAGGGGCAGAGAGGTGCCCAGAGAACAGCCCCCGGAAAAGCAGCCAGGCTCCCCTCTGGAGGTCCAGCAGCTGCCGCAGGGCCTGGGGGAAGCCAGGCTCGAGCACAGGCAGGATGGACGGTGCTAACTTAGTGAGCAACTAGTCGATCTCTGGTTCTCTCCTCATTCCCTGCACCCTCTGCCACCGCTGCTGAGAACAGAATGATCCGTTTCCTCGTCCATCGCGCCTGCCTCGCCCCCATTCATTGCATTTCACAGCTCCCCCGCCAGGTGAAGGGACGAGATGGTCCCCAATCTAGAGATGGAACTTCGGGCACACAGAGATTAAGGTCTAAAATAGCCCCTACTGTTGTGTGCCCAATCTGAGGTGCCTAGGCCCTCACTTTCCGGAGCTATAGCTGTACATGCTCTGTGTTCAAAGCGCAAGTCCCATCGGCTGCATGGGTGACACACGCTTTCCTCGCTACTCGGAGTCATGCCTGGAGCAGCCTCTGGCCGGTGCGCTCAATGCAGCGGGGGGCAGGGAGGGCTTGTGGAAAACCCAGCACGTAACCCGCCGTTAGACTGCACCAGACCGTATTGCATACAGCACAGGGACTGAATGCAGGTCGCACAGGCAATGGCTGTACCGTGCCAGTGAGGAATTTGCAGAGCGTGTGGATGATTAGGCTGGCCCAGAAGACGTGCAGCAGCTGCAGAACCATCAGGAGAACGTTCATGAACTAGTTCCCGAAGAAGGGCTGCGTTCCTCCACGGGCCCGTAGTACGAAGAGTGCAGCAGCCTGCAATGCAGCAAGAGAGACACAGTGGAGAGCAGATGAGCTATCTCACCGGCTGCAGCAAGAGGGCAGCCTCCGAGCACGGAGTCCTCGCTCAGGATGGAAAGTGGAGTCAGTTCTATTGTAGCCCACAACTGGCACCTTACAGTGTCGAGGGAACAAGCGGTTTGGCCAGTCTGCCGCATGAAACAATTCATACAATAAGCAAAAAGTGAAGACACAGAGTCCGGTATACGCTGACGCATTGCAGGGCTTTTACTGCCAGAAGGGACCATGGTGGTCATGTAAGTGCATGCAAAGGCCAAGGAACCTCACACTCGCAATCGAGACCCTGTCTGAGAGAACCAGCCCATCTTCAGTTACTGATTGGTCTATCAGCTCTCTAGGCAATTTGTTCCAGTATTGGAACTTCAATACTGAGGAGTCCGGAGGCACCTTAAAACTCAGGGTATGTCTATAGCACCGGCTTTTGTCAGCAAAACTTACGTCGACACCCAAAAGTCGACAAAACAAAACTCGCAGGGGGGGTTCACACTTGCTCCCTCTGCCCACTGCTCATGTCCACACTGGGGACACCATCGAACACTGCGACAGGGGCAAGTTTTGCTCCAGCTCTGCCAGTTCACGCTGCAGTCTGTCGTAGAAGGTTTTTTGCTCAAGTCTGACAACTGTCAAGTCTGCGGCAGAGCGCCCAGGGAGTCTGGAGAACCCGCCTGCTGGGTTTCGAATGCTACTGCACCAGAAACACCGAAGTGGGAATCGTTTGCTCACAAAGTTTCTTCCCAGCCCCAGGCTCTCAGAGATTGGCTTATGCTGGAGAGGGGTCTGGGAGGGAGCACAGGGTGGAGATTTAGGGTTACATGGGTTTATTTACCAAAGGGAAAACAAAACATTTTTAAAATTATCCCCAATTCAAGAGGGTCAGAAACAGGGTTCCTGCTAATTTTTTTCATCCACGTGCAGAATAAATTTTGTTATGTGTGCCAAGGCATGGAGGGATGCGCACCACCAATAGAAACACCGGCTGTTGGCTCCAGGGGGTGCTCCGCTAATCAGCTGGGTGGCATTTTAATCTCGCCCAAGTGCTCAGCTCACAGGGACACTGGTCAGGGTGC